TCATCAAAAATTGTATAATCTAATTAAAATTCTAGGGCCTTATAAGGTTTTTAATTACTTGCTAAAGCAGTTGGTCAGATGGTTAAACATAATAAAAATAATAACGCTTTGAAAGGAATGAAGAAAATGTCATCAAAGTTAACAGGGAGAGGAAAAAATCTTAGAACATTATATGAGATAGATTATAAAGTGTGTTTGTTAAGCCAAGGGAAAGTCCTTGACAAACTTCACATCATGCTACTTTACTTATTTGCAGCTTGGGATTGAATAGCTAACCCATCCTCAGGAACAGAGTGACCTTCATTCTGGATTTAAGAACAGTCAACGTATCTGTTTACTTTTCTTTCCTAGGAGAGGCTCTCAGGCTCCCATGTAATTAGAAGCACACTGAAATAGAAATGTGCTTAAGAGGCACAGAATTCTGACACAGGGAATTTCTCTTACTAAGTTTTACCTCTCTGTACACCAAAATTTGACGGATTGTAACATCTGATTCCCCCTGGCTCATGTGTAAAAAATCCTCTGTGGCTTTTCAACTCCAGACTTGAAGAATACAGAAAAGGGTCTGTGGGGTACCTCAGCCTGTTCTCCTTGGGGCCCTGGGTCTAGTTTGCACATCAGGCAAGGACACTCAAAGACACATAGTGGAACCTCATGGAAAGCTCCGGCCCTCCTCAGCTCAGAGCCTGCACTAGCCACTGTCTGAACAAGTCTGCTGAGACTGTGCTGGACAGATCCAAGTCTTCTTCGGGTGTCCACGGTTCTGTCCCCCCTATGTCTGGTATAGGTGGAGGTGTCTGCTGTTTGGTTCAGGGATCTTACTGCTGTGTCTCAGACTTCTGCATTTGCTCAAAACCCAGTTTTTGAGTTTGAGATTTTCTTTCTGACCCTCAGGTGAAGCCTGGTGCTGCACCTGAGTATTCTGTGAGTATGGCATCAGCACTGGCTGCACATTCTTGGTGCAGTGGCATCAGCAGAAAGGACATGAAGGTCCCTTTAGCAGGTGATTTTTTGCCACTTGGTGTAATATGAAGTATCTCCTAAGCAGTAGTCACTGATGACATAACTGCTTAAGAGTTTCACACCTGATAAGTATGGAGTGCAGTTCAGTCTGAGACTATTTCATATATTTTTTAATAAATTGCAGTAAGTAGTAGCCAAAGCCCAGCTAGTTAGAAGGTGATTATAATTAATAACAAAAAATAATTATCTCTTTCTGATCATAATACAACAGGATATAGTTAGCCACATCTGTCTCACAACTGTAAAAGTGGTTTTAATAAAAGAAGAATAAGAATCAGTTTTTTGGAAATTTTATATATATGGAATTATTTTCCCATGCTCTAGAATTTGGAGTGTATGAGAAGTAAAACACTATTCAGATTTCATGACCTTATAGCAATGTCCTCAAATGACACAGTTACTATGAAAAAGCACTCAACTAAAGCTAAGCTGTATTTGTTCCTCTCCCTCCTCCCCTGCTTTCACAAATAGTAGTTGGACCTTCTGGGAAAATTTCTAGTGACATTTCAGTGTGTAAAATTAATGAACAACCATACAAACTTGCAAAAAGAATGTTTTCATGTTCAACTTGTGAAATGTAAGATAGTTCCCTTTAAGTGTGATATTCCCTCACTTTCTGCTCATAAACTCCAAATTGGCTTTGAATTTATTAGGGGGCAAGGAAATAATTTCCAGCTGTGTGGTGATAGACTCTGAGTCTTTCCCCTGAACCAGAAGGTCTTCCAGTGTGTTGGAGAGACCACAACTAGGGGCCAGGTGAGCTCCTTGCTCCTCAAAGCCAGTCTCTCTGCTATCTGTGATTGTTGTTTCTGGCAATTAACATCATACTTGGCCTTCAGTGCTACATGAGGCCCAGTCTAACTGAGAGGGCTGTAAAGAATGGATTCTCTCTGTGTCTTTGATGGAAGGGGTCAGTTAGCCAAGAGGCTCTGGATAGCTTCTAGCTGCTGTAAGTCAAGCCTGTTCCTCCAGTCTGTCATGGTGGAAAAGCAATGAAGCAATGTGGTGAAGACTGGACTTGGGAGGTTCATAGATTGTAACTCAGCCATAGGTCTGAAGTATTCTCAGTATTTTGTACAAAAAATCTTACCAGCTGTTTGTTAGGGCCACATGATTTTTCATTCCAGATTTTTTTTTGTGGTACTGGGGTTTGAACTCAGGGCCTCATGCTTGTTAGGAAGGTGCTCTACCACTTGAGCCACTCTGCTAGCCTAGGGTGTATTTCTGTCTGTGTAGCTCACTCACTGGTGAAGAATGAAGTCATCCATAGCGGCCAGTCTCTTTGTCTTCTTTCTCAGGTTGTTCTTGCTTCTGAGTGTAAAGTAGAAATACCAGTGTGAACATGGTGGGAATGGATGTCTTTGAGAAGCATTTTAAGTTCCTGAGAAATAAGACTGAGTCACAGACTAGATCTGATCCAGTTTTACTTCCCCAGCATTTTACCTAGTGGCTAGCACCTTGTAGTCACTCACTGATTGAGTTTTCTTGCTGATTGGATGAAAGGCATTCGTGGGTGATTGAACTGTTAAGCCTTATTAACGTTTCCTTGAGAGGACAAAGCTCTTGATCATGCCATAAGCAGAGTCAAACAGGCCAACTATGTGCAAGTAATTTCCTTCAGCAGCAGTGAGGGAAAATTACTCGGTACTTGGCCACAAACATGCAGCCCAGTCCCTGGCCTCCTGTGTGACACAGATGGAGGCCACATGCATAGGAGTCAAGACCAGAGGCTTAGGAAACATTTCCAGGCTTCAAATTCTAGCATAATGGGGACGGTGCAGAATAGAGTGATAGCAGTCCCTTTTCTTAATGGCATCTCACCTGGACCTGAGAGCTGCCTGCTCTTGAGAAAGGCTGATGGTGCACCACCAGTGGGGGTGTGGCTTGGCCCATCCAGGATTAAACATGATGTCTATGTATGCTTCCTACACCCTCAACATCAGTTTTTGGCATTCCCATGGATTCCTTTTTTTGTCACCATGCATTTAAGTAATTGCAAAAGTCTTGGCTATGCATGGGATAGTTCTGCTGAGGGAAGCCATGGTGGCAGCCCTCAGTACTTGGTGTTCAGTAGGGGAAAAGTGCAAGTAGAGTGACCACAGTGTGATCCAGAATTCAGATAAGGGAAGAGGCTTCCCACAGAAGGATGTTAGGAAGGATTATGTGTGAGACCCCACCTTGAGGAATGGGTAGAGATTTGGTGGGTGGGGATGAGAGTGGAGGGACCATTCTAGGCAGAGAGAAGCAAGAGGGGCAAAGGCTGGGTTGGATTTGGAGATCAGTGAGTTTGTAAGGAGTTATGGTAGAAGGGAGAAGGAGTCCTGCCTACAAGAACCCTGGATGTCCCCCGCTAGATGCTGCTTCTTATCTTTTTAATGTCATTCCCAGGCAAATGTGGGAACAGAATAAACTCTTTCACAGAAAAACTGACAGTTCTGGGGAAGTTTTCACCTGACTATCCAGTTATGCTAGGTCATATAACTGGAAATTATATTTTTCTTTCTGAAAAATGAAGAGATAGGTGGGAGGTGAGAGTCAGATACCATTTGGGCTCCAATGTTACCAGCTTAGTATACCATGGGCCGTCATCCCTGGTTTGATAGATGGGCTTAAAAACTACCCACCAATTAGTTCCACTTCCTCAGTCAAAATAAACTGGGTGTGTTTCTTTTATGTGTATTATGCAATTATGACTAAATACTAGATATTATTGATTTGGCTTACTTAATGCTCTTAGACATGCCATCTTGTTGTTTGTCCTAGAGTTTTATCTAATCACAGATACCCAGCTTAAGTTAATATTTTATGAGGTTCAATCATATCCGGAGACTAGAAATATGATGGAAGCCATAGCTATTGAAAAGACAGTCTTGCTGCTCTCAGGACAGCTCAGATTCAGAAACACAAACCCTGATTTGAGCACAAACCCCATTTCCTATATTGGCTATTCATATGGGCAGTGATGAATTCTGACACATTTTCTCATTATTTAGACCATTGCTATCCAAAAACCATACCAGTGTTACACTCTTACAAATACAGAGTGATTACTGTATTTCCCAAACTGATCTGAGAACTTCATAAATATTCAGTCATTTAATCTTTACAACACCTATATGAGGCAGGTAGATTGCGTTCTTGTTTTTTTTCTTTCACAGATAAAACGGAGGTACAAAAAAGTGAAGTAACTTGGTTCAAGGTCACACAGCCAGGAAGCAGCAGAGCAGGGATTTGAACCCTCAACATGTTTCCTAAACCTTGGTCTTGACCACATACATGTGGCCTCTGTTTGTGTCATTCCCAGAGCCAGGGAGCAGGCTGCACATTGTGGCAGAGCGCCAGATATTGTGCCTTCAGCACTGTGCAGCCTTCCAGGGAGCAGCCTGTGACACGTTAGGTGGTCCCTGCTTCTGCTCGCTGACTACAGGGTGCTGTCGTGCTGGCCAGCCCTGCTGTCTGCTGATCACCCTTGCCAGTGAATCACAGCTGATGTTCACAAGCTTCTGTGGACATCTTATAGCCGGTCTGCTTCACATCTAAGATCCCTCTGCTCACCTTTGCTGTTAACAAGTATTTAGAGTTAGATTTCAGCCAGGTGTGGTGGCTAATGCCTGTAATTCCAGCTACGTGGGAGGCATAGGTAGGAGGATCATGGTCCTAGGCTGGTATGGGCAAAAAGCATGAGACTCTATCTGAAAAATAACTAAAGCAAAAAAAAGAGGGGGGTGTTTCCTGGGAGATGAGGCTCAAGTGATAGAGTGCCTGAGTTCAAACCCAGTACCACTGTGAGAGAGAGAGAGAGAGAGAGAGAGAGAGAGAGGGAGAGTGAGAGAGAGAGAGTGAGTGGCTGGATGGAAACAGCATTTAGGGACTTGCAATCCTTGTGCTAACCCTAGATTCCAGAGTTTTCTTTGCTACAGCACACCAGTACGAGGCAGGTTGTACATTCAGCTGTTTTCCTTTCTGTGTCCTCACAGATGTGTCCTCTCCACACCAGCGAGCCTCTGCCAAGATGAAGCCAATACAGGAAGGGGTAGAAGATGACGATGAGGTCTTTGAACCAGTGTCTCCAAATAAATTTACAGTCCATCAGTTGCCTTGATCAGAATTCAGCTACCAAGATGGAAACTGTCCTGAGAGATCCTGAGGACACCAGCACTGTTTCATGGCTTTTGGTTTCTCTGCTTCAAGAGGCTAGGGGCAGGAAAGCAAGAAAGGGTCAAAGATGGAACAGTTATTTTACCTGTCCTTTTTACTGGTCAGTGTTTTAAGTTTTACTGAGCCTTCTGACTAAACTTCATTCTAGTTTAAGATGGATATTTTCTAGATTCAGTATATTATTGTTTTAGGGGTCTGTCAGTACAAATGTCTTTCACTTATTTTTCCAATTTGTGACCCATTTTCCTCAAAGAACATTTTTCTTCTACCATGGAATTTAAAATGTGTTGTCCATTTGATAATTTAACAAACAATATAAGTTGACATTGAGGCCAAAGTAAAAAAAAAAAAAAAGGAGGGAATCTTATGCTTTGTTCAGCTGACTTTTTATGGGAAATTTTAGAGAAGTTGCAATTTGACTGGTTTTTCTTTTTTATCTCCCAGGTCAGAAGTGTCCCTCCACTAGGTCACCTTACTTATTTGGGCACTGTATAGATAAGGACCAGAATCATCTGAATGTACTTGCATTACCCTTGTGTTATGCTATTTATCAAGTAATCTGAAACCTGAAGCTGGACCCATAAACAAATGGAAGTGTGTCTGAGCTCAGGGCCAGCTTTCAGCTAAGCTCACTGCCTTGGGATCTGGAGCCATTTTGCTCCATGTGCTCAGATGTGGGAATGCTTAGTGGGAGAGTAAATGGCTAAACAAGTGCTGTAGGATGAGGCAACTAAAGATCATGTCATTCTTTGGTCTGTTTTTTGTGTCAGATCACTCCTCTAGAGGTCTCCCTCAAGAGCGTGGCAAGCCGGGCATGGTGGTGCATGTCTAAAATCCCACCACTTGCAAGGTGGAGGCAGGAGGATCATGAGTTTGAGGCCATTCTGGGCTAGCCAGGGTGACCCTGTCTCAAAAAATAAAGACAGAAAAAAAAAAAAGTGTGCTACATACTATGTGCCAGAGCTGTGGCTATGAACACAACTGTAGGATGGACAGCTCACCTCAGGTAGTGTCATAGATGCCCAACCAAGGTATTGCTATGAGGGCCTTGATTACAAGTATCTCTTTCCTACTAGGATTGTGTTTTAGGAAACAGTGGTATTTGGTGAGAAATAAGAACAATTTTGCTTACTCAGTCTGTCTTGTCAGTGTGGCACATGGGCAGGCCCCTCAGTTGAATGGGGTCCGTTGGTTGTCTGTGCTAGTCGTAGCCTGTTTGTCTTTATTTTGTTTCTTCCACTAGAATGAACATTGAGTCAGTTCCTGTCATATTAAATAGCTAAGAAAAGTTGAAGATCAATCACCTCTTCAGGTGAACCAAGCCAAAAAGAGCATCTCTTGCCACGAGGTGACTTCTGTTACAGAAGTAAGAGAAATCTCTCTTCTCTACATCCATTTTTTTGAAGCCAGTCATTTTAGTTTTTCACTTGAGTTGAATTTAATGCTAAGTCACTCCTTGAGGAAATGTACACAGACTGGGAATCCAGCTTCTCACACCTTTATCAAATACTGGCTTACTATAGAGTGAAAAGGCTACTTTCACATTACTAAGGTAGCAGGTTTGCATTTGCTAAGCTAGGAGTTTATTTTGGAAAAAATGAAGCAGTGGTGAATGGGTTAGCCTTGACTTGAGGACTGTAATGATCTGTGGGGTGAAACTATCTACATATCAGGAGCCCACACATAACTGTGGTGTGATGATATCCATACTGCTTTACTTCAACCTTGGAGTAAGGTTGACATACAAGTAGTTTACCCACACACAAAGCTAATTTACAAAATCATGCTATAGAGTAACTAGATATTACACCCTTCCCTGAGCAGGAAGGAATTTCAAATTCTGTTGTAGCTGCATTTTTAATGTGCTCTGGATTCATGGAACTTTGGAGTTTTCATACTCTGTCCTGTTTTCTGGCTTATGTCACTTTGTCAATCCCAGAGAGCAGAAAAGGTCATCTGTAGTAATCAGCCTGGTTTTGCTTAAGAGGTTATTTTCTATAGTGCTGGGAATAAAACCTGTTTTAAAAGCACACTGCTAAAAAAAGTAGGTGATAGAAAATCATTTACTATTTTTATGAAACGTGTGTGTATCAGTATCATTGATAATGAAGATTGCAAGGTTAAGAATCTTTAAAAAGCCACTTAGCTTGAATAGGAAATGTGAAACGATTTTTAAAAAACACACCTCCAAGGAGATAATGAGACTCTGAGAAAAGGAGCCAAAAACCATTGAGTAGCCCTCCCGTGTAAGACTTGATTGCAGAGTAGAGATAAGAAAACAGAAAAGACTTGTGAGTGTAAGATCTCCTATGGATGATTTAAAATTCATTTATACAAAGGAACAAGTGTACCTTTGTAGAGTGCGTAAAATACATAGATAAAACATGTTCTCTGTCATTGTCTCCAATCAGATGCTTCCTGTGTTTTCTTGGCATTCATTCACTTAGCTGTGTGATCAATGTTCGGAAATGGTCTGCAAAAATTATATAATCCCAGCATACTATATATAACACTGGGGATATATACATATATATATATATATATATATATATATATATATATGTATATATCCTTAAATACATGTTTAAATGTAGTATCAAGTATGAATCTGGAATAATAATATTTATTCCAGAATGTATGTGTTATTTGAAACATTTTGAAAGCCCTCATAATATTTGTATTTTTAAAATTGATAGCACAAACAATATAAATCCTCAATGATTTTTATCTATATTAAACTAGTAGTAATAGGTGCTATATCATTATTTTTCAGTTGCTATCCTTGACTTTCTGGACTCTCCATTTTTCCCATCACTTGGTTTTATTTTAGCCCCTGGACGTCTTTTATGCTCTGCTATTCAGTGTGTGCACTCAGAAATATCACCTTACATCTGGTTATCCTTCCATGTGTCTGAAGCTTTGCTGTTTTTATGACTCAGAGCTGCCAGTTTCTGCTTCCTAGGTCCTATCATTGCCCCAAAGACAGAGATGCTTGGATGCTGGAAAAATCTTTGGGAAAAACTGATGTAATTTACATCCTGCCCTCTACCCAGTGCACCCAGGTAATGATGCCACTCTCCAGTAAAAATTCCATGCTGGTGGCTCCCAGCTGAGCAATGAGGCTTGTATGTCAGTCCTACCTTTGGGGCATGATGCCTTTCTCCCTACAGACCCAGGGTGCAGCTCTAAGAATTCACACTTAAAAAAACAAAATCCATTTCTTTTGGTCATGTCTAAAGCTGCTCCATAGCAGCTGTGAGCCTGTTAGACCTCAGGTTTCCTTCCTTCCCTTTTCAACCCTGGTTTCCCAAGCTCCTGAGGGATTAGATTCCACCTACTCAAAGACCCTGGTATTCGGTAGACGCTGTGCAGGAGCTCAAACCTGAGGCACACTCACTGCTTTGTTCTGCTCCTCACGGGACAACTGTCACTGGAGTAGCCATGTTTTGATTGTCATGACCCCAAACACCTGTGTACAACAGCATAGTGGTCAGTATTTTAAAACCTGCTTTTTAAGTGTCATTTACAGGTTTTTTCTGTTGTATTTGCAACCAAGTTTGAAAGTACAGGAGGATTTCAAGACTGCTTTATATAGACATGTTGTAGGAAACCTCCTAGGTGCCATTTACATTGATAACTTTACTTTATAATAAGATAAATTGTGTCTGAATGTAGCCTTATACTGTAAAATATTGTCATATTGCCATTTGATCACATAAATTTCTTACTTAGAAAAATGCATGTATTTTTATTCCACTCATCTTACACATGTGTGACTTGGTCTGACTCCATACCCAAAGACCAGGGTTGGTTTCAGTTACTCCGGAGGTTTATGAGAATTGCTCTGGTTTAGATAGTCTGAGGAGATCTGTAAACATGGTGCTTTTGGGTTAGTTTCAGTCATTCCAGAAGCTGTGAAAGGAGAAGGCTGTCAACAGTGTTGAGGGGACGCAGCCCCTGAGAAGCAGCAGAGTTCCTGTAGTGAATATGGATTTCACTCTTATTCACCATGTCTGAACGTTCTTTTCAGTTTCATAAGGTCCAAAGATATAAGGAGTCACTTGAGGAGTCAGAGAACCTCCCTTGGATCTTGATCTGGGGCGAGCAATGGGGACTAATACTTGTTTTCCCATCATCCCTCCATGGTATCACCCTGAGACTTGACAACTCACCTCTTGACACCTAACAGACTCATCTCAGTCAGCTCCAAGGCTAGAGCCAAATGGAAGGGGCACCTTATACTCCCATAAAAGGAATTGATTCTGTGGCCCCAATGAGTCATATTGCATAGGCCTCGTAAACTTCTTGCTGAGCCTGCTGCGGGCAACTTCCCCTTACCTAAGCCTGAAGCAGTAAAGCCTGGCAGTTTCCACTTGGGGGTTTTCTGTGTCAGATGTGGTACTGCCTACTGCACAGCAACATTGATGGATCCTGATTGGATCTGTGGGAGCAGAGGAGGTGGTGGAGAAAGGGGCACTTCAAAGGTTTTTGCCTTGCATTGTTTATCTTCATTTCCTGGCTAGAGACATGGCAAAGGACCAGTTTTGAGAGAAAGCGTGGTATTTTTTTCATACTGAGTTTGGAATGAGTGAAGAGATGTCAAGTAAGCAGTTGGATACAAAAGCAGACTCGGGAGGGGTCAAAGATGAAGACGGTGCTGTGAGCTTTGCAGCTTCCAAAAAAAATAAATAAATAAATGTTTTTTTAATAAGGTGTTTGTTTTTCCCCAATAAATACATAATAATGAATGAAGATTTTTTTTTATCTCTTGTTTTGAAATGTGCTAACATTGGAAGACCTGCGTAACTCAGTGAGCCAGTATTTTTTAATAATCAATACATGATATTTTAAAGTCATTTTTAATAGGTATAACAGCACAAGAAGGAGATTTGGGCTGGCAGAGTGGCTTAAGTGGTAGAATGCTGCTATCAAGCATGAAGTCTGAGTTTCAAACCCCAGTGCTGCCAAAAAACAAGCCAAAAAAAGTGATATAATTTCAGATTCCAACATTGCAAACTAATCTTTAAAAAAACTATGACTTGTGGAGTCATCTTGGGTGGTATCAAGAATACCTGCAAGTTATCTCTAAAGGCTACTAAAGTATTTCCTTTTTTCAAAGTCTGTCAGGCCAGATTTTCTTTATATACATCAACCAAAATAAATATG